AAACCGTCTTGCGGAAGATCCGTAAACGTGGTGCATCGATGATACTGATTCTAGAACTTCGTTGTGTTCTCGAGAACACTTCGAGCTGTGAAGTTTTCGAAGTATGTTTCATGTATGAAACACTTTTACGGATGTTCCGGATCTTCCGAATGACGGTCCAATGGCCATCCAGGTTCATGTTTAAGTCACGACCCCAAATTTATTCTTTTAACACAGTTCCTAGTATTGCTTGTAATAAACTGCGGAGCTCTAGCATTAGTTTCATGGATTTACCACTTTTAAAGATGTTCCAGATCTTCCAGAGGATGGTCTCATGCCCATCAAGGTCCATGTTTACGTAACGACCTTTCTTATATCACAGTTCCAAGAGATTTAAAAAAAAAAAAACTGCTGAGCTCTAGAATCAGTTTCATGGATGAACCAATTTTACCGATGCTCTGAATCTTTCGAAGGACGGTTCCATAACCATCCGGGTTCATGTTTATGTCACGACCCCAAATTCTTTCTTATATAACAGTTCCACGTGTTTTCGAAAAAAAACTGTGGAGCTCTAGGATCAGTCTCATGGATGGACCACTTTTACAGATGTTTCGTACAAATTCTTTCTTATATCACAGTTACTAATGTTTTTGAAAAAAAAACCCTGGATCTCTAGGATCAGTTTCATCGATGGACCACTTTTAAGGATCTTTCGGATGTTCCTGTTTATTTCACGACCCTATATTATTTCTTATATCACAGTTACTAGGTGGAGCTCGAGAATCAGTTTCATGGATGAATCACTTTTACGGATGTTCCGGATCTTTATGAGGATGATCCCATGGCCATCCTGGTCGATTTTTATGTGACGACCCCAAACTCTTTCTTATATCACAGTTCCAAGTGTTTTCGAAAAAACCGCGGAGCTCTAGAATCAGTTTCATGGATAGACTACTTTGACAGATGTTTCGGATCTTCCTGAGCACGCTTCCATGGCCATCGGGATCCGTGTTTATGTCATGATCCCAATTTTTTTTTTCGAGCATCACAGTTCCTAATGTTTTCGAAAAAAAACCGCGGAGCTCTATGATTAGTTTCGTGGATTGATCAATTTTACGGATGTTCCTAATCTTCTGGAGGACCGTTTTGTTGTCTATATGATCCATATATAGGAACCATGACTGTATCCTGGCTAATTATGAACATTTGTGCCCATCAATCTAATTAATGGATCTTAGGCTACTTGCAAAACCCATAAACACTCTTTCAAAAAAAAACGTGTAACGACTCTTTTCGCTTTTGAATAAAGTAGACGAGCCTATTTTTAATCTTTTTACAATCAAAATAATCTACAGACCCTAGGAATTCTAGAGGTACCACATTTTTTTAAATTCATTAAGAAATGGCTAAGTTATGCTATTGCAAACTTGCTGTTACACGTTTTTCGGAGGCATCGTATTCGAAGTGTTAATTGGGTTTGTAATTTGTAAGAACTATCTTGCGCAATGGCCGAAGTAGAAGAGAACCTTCTCTTCAGTTTGACCCAGTAGCTTCCCCCTTGACCTAAGCCTATTTCCACGTCCCTCCCACTTATCCACCACCCCTTGCCCATATCCTTCTCCTGCTTCCAACGCCCACCTTCATCCTTTCTCCTTCCCGTTACGTGTTGATGGTGTGACTGGGTTACAATTATTAAATATGGCCGTTATATATTTACATTCAAAAACAAGACAATATTGTACAGCCGTCCCCCGAAGAACGCGCTACCCACTGAGTTGCACCCACCGCTTTTTCTTGGCGGGGTTTCAACCAGGCGGTCTGATTTTTTGCATGTGGGTAACGCGTTCTTCAGGGGAAGGCTGTATACCCTATTTATCGCTCTAACTATCTCCTGATATATCTCGCTCGAAGTGAATCAGTAGGGTACAGGGACCAAAACGGTAACAAGGCCTTATTACTATATAATCGACAACTTTACAAAAGGTACTATGGTGGTTCAGTTGCATTTTTGACGTAAGACTTCGTCTGTGTTTTCTAAAGGGGGGTACACTTTGTAAAAGTCAAAAATGAAACCTGTAACGAAATAATGAAAGATTTTGAACGGTCATAACTCACCTGCCCCTGGACCAATTTCAATAATTTTATCACCAATCGATCAGAAATATTTCTACGAATTGCTTTCGACTGTTAATTTTGAACAAGAAACTATTGAAAAATTGTAAGTGTCAAGCACTGTCCAAAAGCGTTGAAATCATTAACAAACGTTAGTAGACGAAACAAGTCGAAGTGGCATTCGCCACACGCCCCCAACGACCACACAAAATGCTCTCCAGAGTTGTAATCTTGTAACCAAACTTGGAAGCAGGGGTGCAAGTGATTTTGATCGACTTTCTGTTTCGTTAATAACTCGACGGCAAACACATTCATTGATACGTATGTTGTTCTGGCTGATAGAAGAGCATAGCAGAAATAGAGCGAAATAGGTTGGTGAAGCCATCCCAAGTAACATTGAAAGATTTATCCAGGATTTAAAGCATTCTACAAGTGTGAATCATGGTCTACAGAACCTTCATAAAACCAAAATTGTTACTAGGGATGGTCATCAAAGGAGGAAATCGATGAAGAGAATTGACTTTCACGCCTCTACTTCTAAGCCCCTTAATTCAGTCGTCGTCAGGAAAGGTAGCGTCGCACCGCTTTTTGTTCTTGGGTTACACTTGCTGGTTGCAATTCTGCATGAAATTACACTATTTTCTAGGGATGCATAAAAGTCAAATTATTCGATTAACGATAAATCGTAAAGATTTTTCAAGCTATTCGATTAAATGTTTATCGAATATCCAATTATTCGAGCGCATAACAGACATCCCTTCTTATTTCTACTCGTTTGATTTAGCGCAGTAGAGAAAATAAATAAAAGTACTAATTTATCTCAGAAGAACCATGACGTGAAACAGGATCATAAATTCGCAGAAAAAAAGCGTTAAGCGTCTTTCTGCTAAAGGTTAAGATTTACCAACTTGAGAAGGAGTTTAACGAGAGTTAAACCTCTTTCCAGCAGCAGACGGGCCGAGACTCTTGCGAGTGTCAAATCATTGAACAGAAGAATATGGGATTGTCCGGTCCGATTTGCTCATCCAGCTGCCTACACGTCACGATCATCTTCCAAAGACTTTAAGCCTGTACTACCATCGGCTCTTTTCAGGGTTACCAAGATTTCCCAAAAAAGTTAAATTTCTGAACATGTGCCAACTAAAATTCATATTAAAAGGTTCTTTTCAGGGAAATCATAGTCAGAGCATAAATAGAGATAACCCTGCTTAAATTCCTATTCCTACACAAAACACAATCTCCTGCTGCAGTTCACAAATAACATTTATTATATAAGACCACGTAGTCCTACGTCACTATTGCATACAACCCCATAGGTCTGTCCCTTGTAGTTTTGACGTAGGACTACGTCTGTGATTTCTATATGGGGGTATACTTTGTGAAACCGAAAATGGAACATGTAACAAAATTATGAAAGATTTTTAACGCTAATATCTCAGCTGCCTCTGGACCAATTTAAATAATTTTATCACCTATCGATCAGATAAATTTCGACGCATCTGTTAAATTTAAGACTTTACCATTTTTCAAAATGTCACTGTTTAAAATTGTACGAATGTGCAACTGTTGCTTTGATAGTTAAAATTATCACCGATTGCCTACGAAAAGCGATTTCCCAAACACAGATTTCAAAATTTAATTCCCTCCGGTCTCACAAAACGGTGTTAATTCAATCACCATGTGGAGAGGGGTGGTGTTCTCCAGTACACAACGAAAGGTTGCCTACAAGCAAGAGCCCCGCTCAAATTCCTATTCCTACACAAAACATAAGCTCTTGCTGCAGTTATCAAATAAGATTTATTATATAAGACCACGTAGTCTTACGTCACCATTGCGTACAACCCCATAGGGCTGTCCCTTGTAGTTTTTTTTATATTGGAATACTTTCGCAAATTAAACTAATGAACACATGGTTCATGTCTAAAAAAAACACTACGGAGCCGAGGTACATTGAATTTTGCTTCTTGATTATCTCGTGCCCGCAGTTCTCTTAACTCATCCATCAATTTCTGCTTCCCAAGCGAGAGCCACTTTTCCTTCTCTTCTTTACTTATTTGCTCGATCTCGGTAAACAGCAATGACCCGATTTTGTCAGCTCCATTTCAGAAAATCTTTTCTAATATTCTACGAAACCCACGCGCTTTTTCGGTGGTCTTATTGCACCAACATACGCCAATCTCTATGGTTCAAAATGGCGTGAATTGGGCTACTAATTCTGCGCAAAAATCAACAGGTAGTTTCGTGATTTATCAAGTGCTTGGCTAAACGAATCCACTCCTTCAGCAACAGCAGGTGAAGAATTAATAATCCACCGAATGAGTTTCCAAAACCAAAGAAATTGCATTTGATCATTATCATTTTAAGACCACCAAAACAAAAACAATTTCCCTCCGAGGCAACCTAGCCAAAACAAAAAAAAAAATCTAGGTAAAATACGTACACCCATTTCCCACCCTAGGCAATTTAACGCCAAAAAAGTGTTAAAGCTTGGACAATGACTCATCACTATCATACGAAATGAGTACCATGGGAGGGACCCCTCGCCGGTTTCAAAACAATAATCTTCGCACTTGCCCATGATGGTGGCGATTTCCGCGCACAAAGGAAACGAGAAGTGAAACCGTTAATTATGAATTCCCTCCCGATGCAATTCCTCCCACGCACAGAAAATTAACCATTCTTTCGCTTTCCTCTCGCTTTCAGGCGCATCCAGATGGAGATGACCGGACATCAACCCGTGTGACGAACCCTTAACTGCCGTTGAATCCACCACGCTGAGTCTTTCATTTTAAAAGCTACATTTTTAAAATACAAAAGAGCCTTCCTCTTCCTCTCCCTGCCACACTTTAAAACTACCCCGGGTAGTCGCGGAATAAGTACTCAAAAGCATCATAAAACCGAAAAAAAAACACAAAAGCAATTGTTTCCGGAATCAAGCGAGAGAGGAGGTCTGAAATTTGCAATTACAATTGCATCGGTACAAACGAGATGACCGGCACCAGTAGCAGAATGCGGTTTCCAGCGGTGATAATCATGATAGTGTTGCTCACCGGAATCAGCAGCAGCACGGCTTGGGCAAACGAACAGCCGGCGACGTCGAAGGCGGCGGAAGAGCCACCGGTGGCGGCGGCCCTGCACGGAACCCATGCCGAACTCAAGGGCAACGACGATGGATACGATTTTTTCTCGATCGATCAGCTGTTCATGAACAACCCCCAGTACGCCAAATTACTCAGCGATCTCCAGTCGCACACGATCGGAAGTAATTGGCGGCGGAAGCGGGACGTTGGCGATGAGGAACCCCTTGCGGAGAGTCCCGTAGAAACGCCGGAAGAGACGAGTCCCACGGCTCCGATCGCCGAAGTCACCGAGGTAACCAAGGACATGATGGAGGCGAAGGAAACGAGCGAAACGGTGGAGGCTGTGGAAGGTCGAACGACTCCTCTGAAGGCTTCGAGCACGATTCAATCGACCACCTCCAGTTCGTTTGGATTTTCCGGATCTACCGAGCGGGCGAGCGAAGAACCTGCGACCAGTGCGGCACCGATCCGCAGCAGTACCCCTCGGCGGCTTATCCACAACAAGAACAAGAACAAGAACAAGAACGGCAACAACAAGAACAGCCAGAACAAGCAGCAGCAACAGCAAGATTCGACCAGTACTTTGACCGCCACGAATGTCAACAAGTTCACGGTGACCAACTCTCCGTCGGCGACTTCCCCACAGTTGTCCTCGTCGCCACTGTCGTCGTCCTCGTCGTCCGCCGCCATCTCCACCTTGACGACCAACGCCGCCAGCAGTAGCAGCAACATGGCAGCAGCCGCCGCAGCAGTGGCCAATGCCACCTCAGCCAGCAACAATAAAGATAAGGTAGGTTTTATTTTTTGGGTTACATAGATCATGCGATGATGACTTGCGTATACGTGATTTTAACTGTGACGAGAAGAGAAGTTTCATGGGAGAATTGAATATTTTTATCGGATCGTTTACCGTTCCAGTCGTTGCGGTCATACATCTTACTGATCACGATGCATTTGAAATTTGTTGGAGTAAAAAGTCAAAAGGTCGAAAGGTCAAAATATCGAATTGGGAAATGGTCGAAAGGTCAATACGTCGAAGGGGGACAAATGGTTAATAATCCTTATGTAGTGCTGTTCAGACAAATTAATTTACGCCCCCTAAATTTCGCTGGCATTCAAACATATCTTTTCAGACAAAACTAATTTTCGAAATGTAATAAAAAAAAAGCCTACATACATACATTTTTCAGAATACGAATAGCCTTAAAACGTTGAGATAGAGCAGTTCCACGCTAACTACCGAATCGATTTTATTTTGCCTTCTCCAAATTCCATGAAACTTTGCATAATTCTTCACTAAGGGCAATGAACTAAGTTTGTGCTTCAATTCGGCCACTTTGACACTCGTCTAACTTTTCAAAATGGTGTTTTAGATATTTTTCAACATTTGGCCCGAAAACGACTTATCTAATCAAAATAGAAACGGGATTCCTTTAACGAAAAAAACAACACATTTTTAAGATTTTTAAGCTTGTTTTGATGAATTTTCTGAAATGGACACAATGGATCAAAATTGACCGAAATTGTAGAAAGTTGAAAAGCTAGCAGTTTCAATTAGATTAAACATAAACATAAGGTTAACAAATTGTAAAATGTGCTTTTTTGATATTGAACTATTTAACAGTTTTTTTTTTAACGGATCGAACGAAAAATTGTGATTTTTATTCTGTGTGTAATTCTATTCCGAAAAGGTTATCTAGTTTCCTACAACTTTGTCTCAGACATCTTTTCGATTTATTAAATGAGCCGTTTTCGTGCTATGATTTATGGAAAAATATCTAATATGCCATTTTCGAAAGTTAGGCGAGAGTCAAAATGGCCGAATTATAGAAAAAAAAAGGGCTTCATTGCACCTAGCGAACACTTTTGCGATGGTTTCATGGAATTCTGAGAGGTAAAATGTTTAAAAATTGGTTATTGTTTCGCTATTTGGTCTGGAACTGCTCTATAAGAATTAAAAACACCAAAATTTCATGAAATTCCAATGACAAAATAACTACAAACTGGCAAAAAAAATTCAAAATTACCTTAAAACACAAAACTGACCAAGGGGTGGTCACTCTACACACTTATTTTGCGCCAACTTTTTTCTCAGTGTGCCTCACGTGTGTCGGATGTGCCGGCAGTGCCGAGAATGTCATCAGACTGATTTTTTTTATTTGTATAATGGTATGTTTGGCAACCCGGTTAATTTGACAGTTCACATGTTTTGTTTGGAAGAAACAATGCAACAAGCAGTGGAATCCTATCCCAGAGTCAAGACTCTCGGTTCATTGCTCCCAAATTATCTTGAAAAAGGACTACACTGAACCTAATAAGCAACGGCCTCGGACACCGAATCGAAGCTTCAAGCGAGAACGTTCTCCGGCGGAGGTACTTCCAATTTCCGTCAGGACAATAACTTCTACTGGATTGGAGTATGATGAGGACTCGGATGAACCACAGGTGACGGTGTTAAGTAGACGAAGCGAGAGTGCATCATCAGATACGTCGCCAGCGTTCTAGTGGGAGTTTCAACCGGAATCAGACTTCCCTGGTGGAGGTGGGGTTTAATATGTCCACACGGTTAGACAGTCCAACAATCGGACAAATGGATAGAAATATGAAGTCTCTGACAAAAAGCAGGGCCGGCTAGAGAACGCCTGTAAAAGCTGGGGCGCTGTCGATGTTTGGAAAGCAAACACTGGTGAAGGCGAATTCATCGATGACAGTTACGATAAGGAACGAATCATGGAACTGAATGTCGTTTGGCTGATCAACGAAGTAGTGAAGCGTTTCGGAATCACACATGGTATACGATCACTGATAAAACTACTACGGCCAGATGGTGGCTTTGTATGGAAACCGATCCCCTTACGACGCTTTTGTGCCCCGCGGATTCCATAATCAATTCGTACCTAATAGAGTTCGAAAAGCTGCGTTCCGATCAATTCTACGAGCATTATTGCAAACATCGCGATGTTGAAATGCTTACCGAACTGCTCCAATTGCTGGTCACCATGGTAAACACCGGTCACTTTACACTTCACCGGGACTTCTTCTTCGCCAAATTTATACATATTCTATTTCAAGCGCTATCCTTCATCCAACTCACCGATGTCGACTTTCAGGAGCTCACTCTCAAGCCCAACAACTGACCAATCAACATCAGCCCCAAATCAATCTACCAACGTCTTCAACGTTCCCTTCACTTCCTCCTTCAGGGTCTCGCTCTCCCCACTAACCAACTCACTGATCACATTCCGAATCGACATTATGACCAGTAGCAGTCCCTTTATGGTCATCTATTGTGCCTTGTGAGGAATGCATGGCAGAACTGCGACGGAAATTCACGGTTGAAGTTATAAAACCAAAAATTGGATTGTGTCAACAACATACACAGAGCAGGCGCAGATATAGTACAGTGTTGTCAGTAACTTTAAATATCATGAAAATTTCTAACCATGGCTGCCAATGAAAGTGCCCAGGTGTGCCCATCTGTAGTTTTGGCACACTGTGCGGAATGACCAACCCCTTGTCTAGGATGCAAACATAACATTTAATCGTCAAAACACCCTGAAAGCCCTCAAAATTCTTTAAAATGGGTTTAATTGGCGTCTTTAAAACCATTTTGTAGATGCTTCTTGATGTTGATATTTCGGACGTAATGGTCTCTAATTCTTCGATTTAAAACTGTGATTAATTTTCCATAAAGATCAGTTCCAGGCCAAATAGGATAAAATTTTATTTAAGACTCGGCCTTCTCCGAATTACATGAAATTATGTTAACCCGAGGTACATGAAAGTTAAATAATCCACCGCTTTGGACACGGCGTGTGACATTCTTCGGAATTTTATGAAGTTCCTGCAGTTTTCCGGAAATTTCTTAGCTTTCCTTGACTTCTTTGGAATTAACTGATTTTTTGAACTTCCTTAAGTCTCCGCAATTTATCTGAAAATAAAACGAAATAATAAATGTCGATCCAAAATTTTCTCTTACGTTCTCTAAATCCCTAAAGCTCATGAAAACGCTCTTAATTTATGCAAAAAAAATCATCAGTATTTTAAACTTTCCCCAAAAGTGACTTTCATTGTGTTATTGGTACTACCAGAAAGATCTCTGAACTTCCTTTAAGTGCTCTAGACTTCCCTGAATTTATCAATGTATTTAAAAAGTCCCGTAATTTTACTGAAGTTAAGTTAATTGCCTTGAAGTTGCTTGATATTACTTGAAGTTCCCCGTAATTTTCCATAAGTTTTGAAAACTTAGCCTAAAATTCCAATTTTTCCAAAACTTCTGTGGACATTCATGAAGTTCCCAAATTCTCGGATAATCTCATAATTCAATGGAACTCCATGAAACGTGCTGCTATTTTCTTTTAAAATGATGAGACTGCTCTGAAGATCTTATATCGTCCTTGAAGTACTCGGAACATCCCAGAATATAATGAAACTTCAATTTAAAAGCTCCAAACTTTTCAGAACTCCACTGATCTTCGCTGAGGTTCCTGCTATTTTTTCATGTTCTTGAAACTGCAAGGACAATCACGGAATTCCCTGGAAATCTGCTCACAATTTACTTCATAAACTCTCAGAGTTTCCCGAAACTTCATTAAAGTTTCTGCAATTTCCATGAAATTTGTTGAACTGCTCTTATAGGTTATTTGATTTGTCTTAATTAACTCGAAGCATCCCTTAAGTTCTCTGAATTTTCCTGAAGTCCTTAGTATTGCCCTGAAAAATAAATGGATCCTTTACACTTTCCTGATTTGTGACATTTTTTCCCCATATAATTGCTATAACATTCATCCCAAGTAACAAATGAAGCTGAACAGTAAGAACAGAAGCTGATTATTGGTTGATTTCAGGTGTACAAAGCTGATTAACAGCAGGCTGAACATAAAGTTGATTAGTAGTGCATGAAGATAATGTTATCCCCATAATTAAACCTCAATAAGTTAGCTGATCTAAATATTGAACAAGCCTTATTTCACCTTAACACTACTCCACAAACCAGCAATGCGCTACAAATATTTTGATAGCCTGAATTTTTTAATGTAGTCAGGGTCACTCGTTGTATTTCCGGCATTTGATTCTTCTAAATTCACTGCCTACCTTTCTTATCCCAATCAGCGGCAGCAGTAGAGACAAGGTAGAGGAGTTTTTTAGGCATAGCTTCAGGTAGAAGTGGGCTGTTTTGACTGCTATATGGCACTAAATTTTCAGACAGAATTCCAAAAATATAACTCAATTATGGCACTAAAATAGCTTCCACATGACCATCTAAATAAATCGCGCACTTGTGTCCACATTGTGTAAACTACGCTTGAAAATGAGAGGAATGTTTAGCTATCACAAGTTGTTGTTTACAATTCTAATTAATACTCTTCCAGTTGCTGTTATTCAACTTAAATTTGATGTGATTCTGTTAATGATCTTACTTTTTCTATGCATATGCTTAAGTGGTCCAGTACGTATGATTGATGCCTGTTAATTAGCGACTGCCGGTTCGAATCCCCCCTGGGGTCTTCCATTATTTTTTTCTTAATAAAACTGGAAGGCTGAGCAACGATTGGAAAAGACTGTTATTTAATACCTTAAAAAGCTTATAATTTATATAACTGAAAATCACCAGATTTAGATGCTTAAAAGCTGCACAAAGGTTAACGTGGTCTATGTACCACAAGTATTCAAACTAAGGCTGAATTAAAATCGATTGAACAACACTTATTAAGCATTAAACTGTTACATGGGATCTTTGAAATTTGCTTTTCAAGGTTCTCAAAATATTCCTGAAGCTCATGGAAGGGT